CTATGTCTAGACTTTTATCTCCAAGAAATCTCTTCCCGCAATAGGATCTCTTCTAGTTACTCCTTAAGTTTCCATCTCAATTCTCTTTCTTGAGCATTCATCATCCTTTGAGATTCCTTTCCATCCGAGTCCTCAATTTGGTTCATTAAAGTAGCCTTCAGTTCCTCCACCCTTCCAAACCAATCCCTATTCCACTTTTTTATTTTAGATCTCAGCCTTTTTAGTTTTTTAAGGAATCCCCTTCCCATTTCACCCCTCATTTCTTCACTCCACCATTCCTCAACCTTATGCTTGAAGTCCGGATGTGTTAACCACATATTCTCAAACTTGAATGTCTAGGTCCATTTCCAAAGGGCTCTTGGCCTAGCTTTATAGGGCAATGATCAAAGGTAACTCTAGGGAGAGCTTTTGTCATCAAATCCTTCCAGTGACTCTCCCAGCCTTCATTGAAGAGAAACCTATCTAACTTTCAACAAGTTGGGTTTCCTTGGAAGTTGGACCAAGTAAAGTTGGCTTGTAACAGGGGTATCTCCCTTAGTTCACAGTCATTAATGAATTCATTAAACTTCCTCATACTGGTCGTGATGGATGGTTGGGGATTATTTGACTCATTTATAAATCATATAACGTTAAAGTCTCCCCCCAAACACCAGGGACCTTCCCATAAGCCTCAAATTCCATAAAGCTCTTCCCACATCTCATTCCTCTCTCTATAGCTATTTGGCCCATACACATTGGCCAGCACCCATGAAAAACCATCTTCCACCAACCTGGACTTTAGGGATACAGAAAAATGGTCTATCAATTCCTCTAATGTTTCCACCAAATCCTCTTCTCCAAAAAGTGGCTATTCCCCTAGAAGCTCCCCAGCAAGGAGCGGAAGCCCAACTCACCCCTCTTGCTTTCCATACACCTCTGGTCCATCTTCTGTCCAATTTTGCTAGTTTAGTCTCTTGTATCATCACGATGTCAGGTCTTTCTTTTCTAAGTAGACCCTTGATCAATCTCCTCTTTCTTGCACTTCCTAGACCTCTCACATTCTAGCTAATTATTTTCATTTAGACTCTTAGATCATTAGGCCCTCCAAATTACTAAGAAACCTTTAGTAAGGAACCTTTCATCTCTCCCCTCTTCCACTGAACTCAACATCCCCTTCAATGTCCAAAATTAATCTCTCCACTTCTGATCTTTTCCTTTTTTCCTATTCTTGTTGACCTCAGTTGTCCTAGAAGGCTCTACAATTCCTATTTCCATCTCCACTCTTCGGGGGTTTACAGTAGGCTCTACCCTTTTGGAGTTATTTCTAGGAATTCTTCTTTCTATTTGTATTCCTCCAACAACCCACAAATCTGCTCCCAAATCCTTTCCAACTCCTCCTCTTGTAACTTCTTTGTTAACAATTCTCCCTCCTTTGTTTCGAAAGGAAGAACCTCCTCACTTCCCTTTTTGTCACCTATTTTTAGCGTGATGTTGGGGTACCTGTTTCAGGCAAAGAACCCCGATTAGCACCAGAAAACAAAAGGACAGACATAACTGAACCTGCTGGAGACAAGTCAGAAGAGGGTTGGTTGTAAAGGGATTTGAGCAACAGAGTTCATATCTAAGGCCTTTCCCACCGACTGGTTCTGCTATGAAGATGACCTAGGTTCGACCCAGTTCTTGATCCCTTACAATTGAAGTTTCCTCAGTTGTTGAAAGAATTGTCTCCTGTTGAGTCTCAGCAAGGGTTGCTAAAACCACCATACCATTGTGCAACACATCATCTGGAGGAGTAACCTGTACGTAGTCATTGAAACTCAACATTTTTCCTTTCTCTTCTATTCCTAGACCAGACGAAGACAAACCTTGCATTTTCTCCTCTGTGAACAACAAATCAGTATTCAAACTGCCCTCCTCAAGGATATCGCCTGACTCTTGCAAATCAATACTGCCCAAACTGAGAATTTTTCCTGTATCCGAGTCAGAGTAGTCTTCATCTTCTGACAACATCTCCACCTCGAGATTTTGGAATTCACTTCGTTTGACAGACCTCGGGTTGCAACAATCCGACGAGTGGCGCCAAGACTTTTTAACTAGAATCCACTACAACAATTGATTTGAGCTCTTCGAGTGGCCGGTAGAGCTCGAGGACGACGATGCTAGACAAAGCTTCCCCTATACCAACGACGATTTGAGCTCTCTGAATGGGTCGGGCCCATTCAGAGATTTGGGCTTGTCATTCTTCGAAAGAATAGGCCACCAGGGATTATGTTGGCAGGCATGTGACCTTCAAAAACACCCTCCCCTATCTAGTTCACCTAGTCGCCTACCTCATTCCATGGTTCAACCCTTCAAACCATCAAAACCATTCCCTTTGAAATCACAGAACTTAAACCATTTGAACCCTTCTCTTTGGCACCAGAAATCAATGCTTGCGCAAACGTCCTATTACCAGTCAAGACTTTTCCTTGTTTTTCACGTTTTTGACTATCTATAACATTATGTTCTTTTGGGGAGCTTGAAGTGTGTCTACCCTTTTTTTATTAGCAAAAGAGAACTTTATTTGAATTTAGGGTTACATTAAAATTTTACAGCTTTGTGTCCGGGATTAATGCTCCCACACTATTACATATTTCTTTCCCACTTACATTGCAGCCCAAAAAAATTGTTGCCTCAAAGCCCCTTGTTTGGCAAGATAATCATCTAACCCATTTGAATTCAGCCCCTACCTCCTTTGCAACCTTTTCCACTTCCCTTATCACTTGTTTGAAAGTCCACGGATTACTTCTATTGTTTTTAGCCCAAGAGATGATCACCTTGGAATCCCCTTCAACCTCAATATGCCTCAGTCCTAGCTGCTTAGCTATCTTCAGCCCTTGTAGCAATGCCATTAACTCAGCTTTTAGAGAGTTGCCAATGCCAATCAGTCCAGACAACAAAGTTAATATTCTCCTTTCAGAATTTCTGATTACTCCTCCAATACCTGACAGTCCTGGATTTCCAAGAGAGCTTCCATCAAAATTCAGTGTGTCTACCCATAATTGTGAAAGTTTTTCCTTCCTCTTGAGACTCCATTCCAAACCTGCCATATAAGCTAGCTCCTCAGCCTTTTCATCTTCAACCTATCTAGCCTCTCTCCAGAGAGTAGCTTCAATGGAAGAGGCCAACCATGCTGGTAAGAACAGACCATCAATCCTGATGGTTACCTTCCTCATGATTCCAGAGATGAAAAGGTAGACCAACTACCCGGACTAAAACACCATCTTCTACTGAGAAGACTTTTGAGAGTTAGAAGATGGAGACCATTTTAAAAAGAGAGAAAGTCCCCAAATCAACTTGAATACTTAAGGCTTCAAAACCTACCAGGTTTTCCAAGGGGTCTAGAACTGCCTTGACACTGTCAAAAGGGGGTTAAGATAAAGGTACTCCTCAGTTTCAGCTTAAGCATTAAAAGATCAGCAACCTTCTTCCAATCCAACACCGGCCTCTTGGATTCAACTACTAACATGCATCCCATTGTTTGTGCTTAAGATTTGCCATCAAAGGTGGAATATCATTTATACTTTGTTTTAATGTTTTACTAATGAAATTTATAAGATCAAAGGGTTTTTAGGAGAGAAAAAGAAAGAATAGAAGTATAAAGAGGTTTTTTTTCTATTCTCTCTCTCTCTCTCTGACAAATTAAATAAAAAAGAAATTCCATCCTTGTTTTTTCTATGTTACTTTCCATCTTGAATATTTATCATATAAAGTTAATAACCTTCTTTAGCTTGCTAATTCATATGAAATTGCTCTATTAAATACTTATTATAGTAGTACTTCGAAAATAATGAAACTAATATTTGTAAAAGATTTTTTATCTTTTAGATCTGATGATTTGCCACATTTTTAGAGAAATTTTGATGTTTTTAATAAAAAGAATTGTTATTTTTCAATTAATATACATGTTGAATGGTATATAAAACTAGGGAACCAGCCAAAAGTTAGTTCTTTGTATTATAAAATTCTGATTGCCTATGACTAGGTACCCCAGTGTCACTCAGATTTGCCTAGGTGCCTTGAAAACTACGCTCCATACAGCAGAAATTGGATAAGTCATCTAGATAAAAGTGCAAGTTATCTAATTAAGGGGTTGTTCAGTGTGTAACTCAATAAAGTGTGGATCACTTCACTCCACCAGGCCCCATTGTGGCATGGTTGAAACCACACCACACTCTGTCAAAGCATTCTGCACTGCGGTGTGGACAATGTGGATACTTTGTAAGACAAAATTTTGAATAAAGTACCTTGGTAATTTATTGCAAAGCTTTAAAAAAATTATTGCATCTACTGTGGCGTGGATTGGTCTGTGGACAACAAATTGCGATATGGCCCAGTTCAATCCACACTATAGTGTGGACTAAGCTACAACTCAAACGGACACTCTTTGCACTGTGGCATGGACCGGAACCAAACGATCCACGCCATTTACAAAACGAACCACGGTACCAAACAACCCCTAAGAAAGCACATTTTAATAGTTGGCTGGTTTAGAGAGACCTAAACAACCCAGGAATCTTCCGAGGTGTTCAAAAGCAACCCAGATGTCTCATTTACTACTCCTCACTCTCTACAATACATAGTGGACCATAGGAACCACTGGGTCTGTTATCAGGCGGGGTATAAAGATTGGCCTGATTAGGAACCTTTTTCCACACACATCCTATATATACAAGGCCAAGTCAACATTTAGTCCTTTACAGGGTTGACTTAGTCAGATCAGATATTAAATAGAATATGTATAAAAGTTATTTAAATGTTTGATGATTTGTAGTTTAAGAGTCTAAATGGTTTTTTTTTAGTTTTATACTTTTATATGTATCATTTGACCAAAATTTTGGAGACAGTGATCCAAAGATTAAATGAGATCAACTTTTTTTTGGAAGGTAGAAAGAAAATTTTATAACAGGAGACCAAGATATGAAAGATTGCCCAAATTATGTAACACAGGTTCTCAATGAAAACATCAATTAGTGGCTTACTCCCTGAATATTGCCTTCATTCGTTTCTGACCCTCAGCCACAGCCTTAGGATCCATTTCCTGAAATAGATAAATGTATCAATCAGTGTTCTGAAAGTGAGTTAGCATTTTACTACATATGCATAAGGAGGAAACTGGAATTAGGCATTGGATTGATAAGGACCGATTGTTCATAGTTGTACACATGGAGACTGCAAAATGTTCTGATTAACATATTATGGACTGCAGATGCGATTTTCCTGCATCATAACTATGCCCAATTGTAAACCATGCTTATTTATCTACGTGCCCTCTTACTAATATATGTGCCATAACCTTTTTATTAATCACTTAAAGAATGTAAATAGTTAATAGATACAACAACAAGAATAACTACAACTATTTTTATGGCAATCATACAAAACACTTTTTCACACAAAAGATTTGCTAGGTAGGACCCATTAAATGGTGAATCTCTTACTGCCATGTTGCTGCTTGACAGACAACTAATGTTTACAGCATGTAACTTGGGATGCATTTGAATAAACATTTGGGAGCAACCTTTTCTTAACTTCTGGCATAAAAATAAAATAAAATAAAATAAATAAATAAAACTCAAAAATTACATTTGGTAACAGATTTTCAAAAGTGGCTTTTCAAATTGTTTGAGAGAGAGAGAGAGAAGGGAAAAGAGCAAGTTTTAAGAAAGTGAACCAAGCTACTATTCACACACCTATTATCTACTTCCATAGAAGTAAAAGTAGATAAAATATCCTTTGAATTTAAACAAAAAAAAATCGTAACTAAATACCCAGTTAGTTTTCCCATCATATAAAGAAAATAATACAATTTTAAGCCTCTGTACCATATCTTGCATTTGCTGTCTAATCTCCTCCAAACGTGGCCTCATCAACTGCATAGTATAAACAAAAATTATCAAAAACTGGCTGCTTACTATTCTACTTTTTAAAATAACAGGCAGAAACATTAGATAACATTAGACAAAAGGGGTGAAACAAATAGTTAAAGTTTTGCCCAAGTAACATGTAGGCAATCCATTGACCAATGACAGGACACCTGCCAACTATAATATATCATTGAAAGTACCAAAAATAAAGAAAAAATAGTAAAGTAAATAGGTCAATTGGGTTTATCCACTAAAAGACTCGCCTATTTCAGCCACATGGAAAAAATATATGGCTGATGCAGACATCCAACAGATGAGAAACCCTTTAGGTTGGCAGCTAGTTCACTCACAATCTACGGTGGACCATAGAGGCATGCACCATGTCCTCACATTGTTTTGGAACATTTCCCCACTGATATAATATGTCCAATTTCTAACAAATTAAAAAGTACATACAATAAATGGCTTGTTTTGGACACCTCAAAGGTTTTCTGGCTCAAAGTTGCTCTATTAATAGAGGTGAGGGGAAGAGATATGGTTCCCTTTTGGGAAATCAAGTAGGTGGCCACTGGAAGATTCTTGGGAAGTTCAAAACAACCTGATTGAAAAAATCCATTTTCTAAATGTAAAATATGAATTATTTAAATATATAATATATTATCTCATAGGAAAAAAGTTCAGGTTTGCCCAATTGGGTTTGAATTGGTTCACATAGGGTGAATTCAAATTTGAACCAGTTATACAGATCTAATGCTTGATATCCATATCCAGATTAATCAGATCATGTTTCATATTTGGACTCAGGCAATTGGATACCATTGACAGCCCTATCAATGTGTGTATTTCCTTAACAAGTGATCAAATAGGAGTACTCGTATAGTGCCCTGTATGACTCTCATTCATCATCCATTGACTTGAAAATCTGGAGAAGAAGAAAATTTCATTTTTAATGAGTGATCAAAAAATTCTATTGGTATGGAAGTGTGGAAGTTTTTTTTTTTTTTTGATGAATAAAATCATTTCCATTAAAATAATGATTAGATACAAGAAAATCCCCTTAGAGGCGCGAGATGCAGCCTCTCCAAACGGCAAATACACAAACTACAACAGAGAATACATGAATGTTGATGCTAAAACAAGAGTTACAGTTGTGCCCAGAACAATGTTTCCCTATTTATCCCTTGTTTTGCCCAGAACAGAGAATCCATGAAGTGTGGAAGAATTCAATATATGCACATGGCAAGGACATAGCTTTGGCAAGGTGGCAAGGTATCTGGCACAAATTTACACTAAAAATTGATGCCCAACATGGACAGTGCACCATTTTGAAATGTCCATGCAACATAATAGTAGCTCAAAGATTTTAAAAAATAAATAAAGAGATGATTAGAGAGTGACCATAGTTGTCAAGGCGACGCCTGGGTGACAAGGCGCCCTTGGAGGCTCGCCTCGCCCGGTCACCAAGCAGTTTTGTGCACTGGGTTATAAAATACTTTTATATTTTTAATTTTTTGACATTATAATTATAAAATAGACATTATTAAACTAGAATATTCATTTTATGTGTTTATATACTAATTTCTTTTTATTATTTTCTTATTTTGTTAGGGTTAAATCAACGCAAACATTGCTAACTGCTGTATTGAACCCATGGTTCAAAGTATCGATACACCTCTGTGTACTGGCAGAAGTGTATCAGTACTCGTAACGATACTCCCCCTATTTTTTATTTCTTTGGTTTTCATTTTCATTTTTAAATATATATTATTTAAAAAAATGAGTCCCCAAAAACACCTGTAAACAGGTATCAGGACCCCAAAGATACAATACAATACACCCAATACAGGGTGTATCGTATTCGTATCGAAATTTTGACCCTTGATTGAACCCTCAAAATTTTCAAAACCTGAACCAATAAGCAAGGGAAGAACTTAAAACTTTGTCTAATCAACACATTTTCTTCTTCCACCTTTTCTATTCTTCTTTCCTATAACAGAAGTAGTGGTTCAGCCCCTATATTTTTTTAATTTTCTTTCCTTTGTTCTTTTTCTACTCATAAAATGTTGATTTTCTAGACTTAAACATGAAATTTATACTTCTCTTATGAAAATTATGAATAATTATTAAGGAAAGATGGTTATGGAACCTAGGGAACTACCCTAGGATATATGGTTTTACTTAAAAAAAATCCATCGCCTAGGCGGGTGACAAGGCACCCCCCTATCGCCTAGCCTCGCCTTGGCGCCTTGAAAACTATGAGAGTGACCATGTTAGTGCTCCCACTTATTTACCCTTTTTCATGTAGTTACGAAGGTGATACTAGGAGGTGCTTTCTAGGGCCATGCCTTTACCACACCTTTTTTGCATGCATGTTTACCACCTTTATAAGCAAGAAAATGCCAAGGTAGACAACTATTATAGTATTATATGTCACACGCCATGTTGTATTTTCTTTGTGCCCTACAAATATATATTAGTTTGTTGCTCATTACTTATTTGCTTAAATTATCGCTACAATACTTCCATACATGGATTCAAAATTCATGTTTTGTCACTTATTTCTTTCTTCTGCTGCAATTTTGATGGATTCTTGTTATATGAAAATTCATGGGAATCAATTATATTGCATATGGAATTAATTGTATTTCATAAGACATGTGGAATATTGCCTTATGAATTAATAATGCAATTTGTATTTATATGCAACATACATTATTGTTGAATTTTAATAATGCAATTTGTATTCATATACAACATTCATGATTATTGAATTTCTTTTAGTATTTTAAATACAAAATAATAAGAAATTTAAAATATGACAAATGCCATCCATTTGTCAAAAAACCACCCCACTAATTCATGCCAAATGGTGAACCTCTTCAAACCAGTATCTATTTGTGGTGTAGACATCTAGGGTTAATAAAGAAAAGAAAAACTTTAGATATCTAGGATATTGTCCCCTTGATATTGTAGACTAATTCAAGTAACCAAGATCGATAACCATATAAAAAATAGTAACAAAAATAATAACAACAAAGTTCTAGTTCATTATAAGTCAAATAATGGTATGTTAAAGAAAAAATGAATAAAGTTCTATGAAAATTCAGGTTTTGCTGTATAACAAAATCTGCTTATACCCAAATTACAATTAGAAAACCAGAGAAAGTAAAGTTATTTGTCCAAAAAGGCATCCACCCTGATGCTTTTAAAATGAAGCTATCATGCACATGTCCGTGTGTAAGCAATAAAGATTGTATGCTCAACAAGCATGAGTGATTTCAGAAGTTACTTAAAGCATGCCTTCATAATGAATCAACATATGTCTGTATCCATAATTAAGTAAAAATGAGAGAAAATAACCAATATAAGTACAAAGAGAGGAAGAGACAAACTATGCAACTTACAGTAAGCTTTGAAGTAGCTTTGAGTTGATTTATCAAAAGTGGAATAGTAGCTCCTCGAATTAAGATGGTTGTTAAAGCTATGGATGCCCACCTGAGGAAAGAATATAATCCTATTATTTAAGATGTAAGAACATGCCAAAATGAATGGCCATCTCTCCTTTTTTTCTTCATCAATGACCATCTCTCCTAGTTTTCTATTTAGCGCTATACATTATCTTAATATTCTGTAAATTTACTTACAAAAAGATATCTGATTTCTCAAAATATGAATAAATAATAATAGCAATAACATCTGTAATACACTACAAACATTAAGTACCAAAGGAAAAGCTTCTTCATCTTATAAAGCATTACATGCAAGGAATAAACAATGTGAATTGGCCATTATCAAAAAAAAAAGTGAATTGGCTGATATCAGTTAGATGTATTAAAGAATTGGCTGCTCACTTAGCTATTTATTGGTTAGGTGTACTAATGAATTGGCTGATCACTTATTCATTTTTGAAGTTAATAGATCAATGGCAAAGTAGTCCCTTTTCTATGCCAGTGAGCCATTGAGAGGAGAAAAATTTTTAGTGACAATTTTTAAAGCTCCAAATCCGTTATATAAAATATAAAGGGCATGGTCTCCTTGGCTCTGCATCAAGGTGTTTAAAGGGATAAAAACATCAATATCAACAGCATCAGGAGAAAACTTTTCCTTCCATTTAGAACAATGTTTTCTAATAATATATCCCTTTTCCTTCTGTAGGCACATCTAATGGTTGATAAGTAGGAGTGATCATGGGCCAGGCCAGGGCAAAGCTGGGCTTTGGGATTAAGTCACTAATTAAATTTTATAAATATATAATATCTTCTACTATATGACATATAATGTGGAGACACTTGATGCACTATAGTTCTATGGTCTCTGTTGTACTATAGTCTTAGTCTTATTTTCTTCTTTTTATCTTTCAGCCCTCCAAGGGCTCTTTTATAAATTCTTTATTTTGTCTTTTTCAGCCCTTCAAGGGTTCCTTTGTAATTATTCATAATTAATATATATTGTCTCATTTGAGGTGGGGGTCGAACATTTACAGTAAACACCCCTGAAACCTTTGGTGTTCTCACAAACTGGAAGATTGACATGGTATCAGAGTAGGTCATGTCTACCAGCTGCTCATTCGATTAACTTCTTGGATGATTAGAGGATTGTTTGAGTACTTTGATTGCTATCGAACTCTAGCTGAAGATTACTTAAAGACTAAGACTATAGTACAACAAGGACCATAGAACTATAGTACATCAAGTGTCTCCACGTGACTGTTGTCCACCAGATTATCCATTGATATGTGTGCAAATTACACATAAATTCTGATGTTTATGCATGGTTTTGATGCTGATTTGTGTAAATTCTTATCTCAATTTAGCTTGATTTCATAAAATTATCAAGGGAGACCAGCTTAGGGGAAAGATAACATAAAACCATGGAAAAGAGGCCAAGTGGAGACAATTCAGCCCAGCTGGGAGAAAGGCCCGGCCGAGAAGCCTAAGGAGGGCTATTCGGCCCATGAAGCCTAGGCAACACTCCATGGGAGAACCCAAGGAGAGAGCCTAGCCGAAGCTCACCAAGGGAGCCCATTCGGCCCAGCAAGAGGGAGGCCCATGTACAGCTCAAGAGCAGCCAAAGTGCAGCCCAAGGAGCCTAAAGGCAGCAAACTTTCTAGAAGAGAGAAAGGGGCTGAAGAAAAAGCTATAAAAGGAGAAGAGAAAGAGAGAAAAAGGGTTCAAACTCCTTTGGTTCGAAATCCTTTTGGGAGAATTGAGAGAGAGGCGCACAAGAGAGAAGAAAGGGGGAGATTCAAGAAGCTTCAAGAGAARAAGAGGTGYTGAATCCGAATTTGGAGAAGAAGCCATTGGAGGAGATCAATCTAGGTTATCTTCTTCCTTGAATTCTGCGCAAGTGGTAAATGATCTCAGCTAGGGTTTCATGATATTTTCTCACTTGATTCTTCTTTCTTACTGTAATTGAATCATGTTTCATGTAATTTTATATCTGTAATTAGTTCTCTAGGGTTATTCGAATGGATTAGATTCAATCTTGATGTTTCTTGATTACGATTTTAATTGTTAGAATAGCTAGCCGAATTGAATTTGTATGTTGGACTGTCTGAATTGTTTGATGAAGAATTTAGACAATCTGATTTCTGTTTAGCCGAACTGTTCTTAATTCTGGGAGTTTCTAGATTGCTTGAGAAAGAGTTTAGAAATTCGGATATGCTAATCAAGATTGAATACAAGGTTAGAGATAACTTGTACAATTCGATTGGTATTCATTCAATTCTGCAATGATGCCCTAGAACTCTTGATCTTAACGCATGCATGAGGATTAGATTCTTGATAGAGATATAAAAATCATCACTCATGCATAGATTGAGCATGCGCTCGAGAGAGGTTGTCCATAACATTGGGGTTTCACCAAACCAAGGCTGAATCCCAATCCAATCAAATGACCTAGAGAATTAATTGCTGAACCAAATTTGTTCACATATAGCTTGTCTTCTCAACTGCATGAAAGGTGTTTGATCCAATTTGCTAGAGATAGTTTGTTAGTTAGGAATTTAGTTTTGATTAGGTTAACATTTCGATTAATCAGATAATAGATGGCTTATATATTACTAGTAGTTATTGTATAAGTCCTCGTGGGAACGATACTCTATTCATCACTTTATTACTTGAGCGGCTAGTGCACTCGCTAGTGTAGCAATTACGCATCATCCATTATGTTCGTGGCACTTTATCTCAGGGACTATTCTTATCCTCCTTTCCTATTCAATTGAGGGCTTATGTTGATGCAGATTGAGTARGCTGCCCTAGCCCCAGATGTTCTACTACAAGGTGGTGTGTTTTTTTGGGTGACTCCCTCATCTCCTAGAAATACAAGAAACAACAAACAGTTTCTAAGTCATCCACAGAAACCGAATATAGGGCTATATCATCTGTGTGCAGTGAGATTGTTTGGCTTCAATCTTTCCTTGTCGATCCTGGTGTTCACCTCCCTTCTCATATTCTTCTCTATGTTGATAACACTAGTGCCATCAAGATTGCATCTAATCCAATGTTCCATGAGAGAACCAATCACATTGAGGTGGATCGTCACTTTATTAGGATCTATTTCTTGTTGGCTCCATCTCTCTTCCACATATAGCTTCCGATTTGCAGATTGTTGATATACTTACAAAGCCTATGATGAGATCTAGACATCTATATATGGTGGGAAAACTGATGCTTATGTCTCAGCATCAATTTGAGGGGAAGTATGGAGACACTTGATGTACTATAGTTCTATAGTCCCTATTGTACTATAGTCTTAGTCTTCTTTTCTTCTTGTTTATCTTTCAACCCCTTAAGGGCTCTTTTGTAAATTCTTTATTTTTCTTCTTCAGCCCTTCAAGGGCTCCTTTGCAATTATTCATAATTAATATATATTTTATCTCATTTGGGGTGGTGGTCGAACATTTACAATAGACACCCCTAAAACCTTTGGTGTTCTCACGAACTGGAAGATTGACATATAAGTATAAAATATATGATATAATTCATATAAGGTATTATATAGTATATATTATATGTCTAAAAAGGGCAGCCCAATGCACGAGGCTCCCACCAATGCGGGGTCTGGGGAGGGATAGACGTATGCAGCCTTACCCCTGCACATACAAAAAGGTTGTTACCAAATAGTATATATTATATGAGTCATTTTATAATATTTATATACATGAAAAAATATAATGTAGCATAAAACACATAAGTATATATTTAATATGTACATAACATATTGTGGGCTAGGCCGGGCTTGAAGTGTTAGGCCCAGGCCCAGCCCTAAAACTTCTGCACCTAATGTGGACCGGGCACTAACCGGGCCTGAACACAAAACCTAGGCCAAAGCCTGGAAATTTCCAGAATGGGCTAGGCAGGAAATGAGCACCCCTATTGATTAGCTAGGTTATAGAAGGATAATCATGCCCAATGTCTATGTTCCATGTAAACAATATGGTGGAAGTGCAGGTTCGCCTTTCCTTCCATCATGAAGGAGGGTGAGGCAGCAGATCTTACACATTTTTTCATGTGTGTTGAATAAGCATCTGCTTGGCTTTCTTTTTCCTTTCTTTTTTTTTCTTTTCTTTTTTTTTTTTTTTTTGTGTGTGTGGGGGGGGGGGGTATCAGGTTTTGTTTTCCTTAACCAGCAACTAGAAGATTATCACAAACTTGAGAATAAAAACTGGACTTTTAGCATCATGGAAACACAACCAATCAACCCAAAGGGTGAATGATTGGAATGTAATTAAATAACCAACACGAACATCAATATGAATGATTGTTACAGCATGAGATAATATTTAACACATAAATTCAACAAGAACATAGATAATGATAATAATGATACCTAGATAAACAATAAAGATAAAAGAACATACATGAAATAAGAAACAAGTACTTACCAGTTTAAGCCAGTAAAGGAATGAATGCCATCAATTAAATACTGTAAGGCGGCAACAGGATAGAAAGAATCAGCAGCTGCAATAGCCACTTCACTCACAGCGGGAACCTGAGCCACATCTACACTCTTCTCCGTGAGAATTTCTGCAACATCACTTATGTACTCAATCTTATCCGATCCTTCTCCAATTGTGCTCGACATATGCCTACAGAAAGAGGGTCCAAACCCAGGTGGGAGAGAGAATGATGACAATCCTTTCACTTGAAACCTAGTTTCAAACCAAGCACTTGCTTTGTTGATGTTGTTAACACCTGTTTGCTTTTGCAGAATGTTACTAATTGCAGGTCGAGTTGATGCGTCTGTAACAGGAGGAGGCTGACGTTTACCATCATCGTCGTGAATAATATAAGCAAATGATGGGTGATACCGTTGCCTGAGAAGAGTCAATCTGGAGGAAATACTACGCCTGCAAGCCATCTATTGCGGGCAAAAAAAAATTTGGTTAATTGTATAGCACAGAGAACGTTTAGAGAGAGAGGCTACAAACCCTAGGATTCATATCCACGAACTCAGACAGATCAAAAGCTCGTGGAACTCAAAATCTCAAATATGAAAGTAAATGGAAAAATCCGAGGTCATAATAACTAATGATCATTAGCAGAGCATGGAGAAACAAGATGAAGGTGGAGTCAACACTTTTGCAGATAAAGTGAGGTTGCCAGAGCATTCAAATCAGAAACAAGCACATAAAAATGGAAGAAAGGAGAAACATCGAGCGATCGATAGAAAGTAGGCCAAAAACATATTCCCACTTCATCGGAGTAGGTATGAAGAGACCAATACAACGTTAATGAAACACAGAAGATTGCACTGGTAATTAAATTAAGTTACTGTTCAATTTTCATTTGGAATCTAAGATCGAAATGGAATAACAAAACATTTGCAGAATACTAGTATCGATACGCGAACTGAAATCAATGACTCGTAAATGAAGAATGAACATGCGAAAAACATAGAGAGGTATGACCTTTCCAGCTCTTCTTCGATTCTCTCTGATGTCCAGACTCCAACGATGGAGCTTCTTCTTATAGTCTCTGCTGCGAAAAGAGACTCGCTAAGTAGGGAGGGCGCGACGCTTTCCCTAAGACAGTGCAAGAGAAAACGAACACCGATGCCCAGTCCCATTTATACTCCACGAGTCAGTATTTTGGCCCAAACAATAGAAGCCTCCCTCCTAAACGAGTAACAACTAGGGCTGCTAACGAACGGCAAAACGAAACAAATCGGATCTAACCGGAATACCTATGTCCACATTTGATTCTTTTTTGGTTTGTAATCCACGTTTGATTCATTGATTCATTAACGTTCAATTTAGAAAGCCGGTTTCCAAGTTTCAGTTTTTCTTTTTTTTTTTACTTACTCAAGGTAAAATTACACTTACATTCGGTATCTTGGTTACTTGGTTTTATTTATGGTCTTCTATCAAAAGTCAAAGAAATAGATTTTGGGCAAATTTATATAATTGGCTACAATCTATTAATCTCCCTTACTGTGTTAATGGGTGGCTTTAATGAAGCAGCCTCGATGGATACTTTATACCCCTCTACTTCTACTTCTACTTTTCACCTTCTTACGTCTAGATTGTACCGAAATCTAATTTTAAATCTTAATCTCTTAGGCATCTTCATTTTTCAGTAAGTTATTTATCTGGGTAAATACAGTTACGTAAGTAAGTTTTTCCTGAAAAATATTTATCTAGGTAAGTGCATTTATCCATATTCTTTTATTTCTCATGTAAATAACCCAATAACCATTTTAGCCATAAAAAATCATTATTAAAAATGGCATTTTGTCCCATTCAAGTGTGGCAACTTCCCCCCTAAGTGGAAAAGTTATTTACCTACCTAGGAAATGGGTATCATACCCACGAAAATAAGCTTTCCCTGGTCCTCACATAAATATGAAAAAAGAACATAGGGTTCTTAGTCAATGGAACCAAAATCCCATTGACCAACTTTCCCCCCTTTCAAAATCCGAGAAAATAACGTACCCTTAGAGTTAAGTATTCAAGAGGGAGGTATTATCTTGGACAAATAAAATAAGTAAATGCCATATCCAACTAACTCTAGATAGAGTTGTTGTTTGCCCATAATGGTTAAATCTATACCCAAATGTTTCCCTATCCTTAGGTTCCAAATGTGGATCAGATCATTGCCTCCTTCTTCTGAATTTAAATCCCCAAATCCTAAACCTGCTTAAACCCTTTTGTTTCTATGAGATGTGGTTAGTAGATAGTTCTTGTAAAGATGTTATTAAGGATGAATGGAGTTTACAAATCAGTGGTCATGCAGCTTATAGACTAAACCTCGAACTTGATTGAATCAAGAAATACTTAATCAATTGGTGGAAAAATTATTTTGTGGAACCTAGAGAGAATTTAAAAAAGACTAGATGATCAAATTCTTCAAGTCGAACAAACTAATGTTGTGGACTCTCCTACTTTGAATAGCGTGTACAAGGATTATGAATCAACAATGTGGCAAATTGAAAACTTTTGGAGACAAAAATCCCACCAAACTTGGCTGCATTTGGGTGACAAAAACACATATTTCTTTCATAGGAGTACTCTTTTTAAGATGAAAAGGAATCATATTGAGGGCATCAAGGATGAACACAATAATTGGAAATCTTCCCATAAGTACATTGCCCAAATTTTTGTAGACCATTTTTCAAATCTTTATATGTCATAGGATCCACATGAAATATAGGTTTTACCCCATTTAATTAATCCCATTATTACTAAAGAGGAAAACAATATGCTTCTCGAAAATCCATATGAAGAATAAGTAAAATCAGCCCTCTTTAATATTAGAAGTCTAAAATCTTCGGGTTCGAATGGAATGCCAGCTATAGTCTTTAAGGAATATTGGGACATGATGGGATTATAATTAGTACAGGTAGTCCATGGTTTCTTTCAAAATAAAAGACGACTTCAAAGGCTCAATCACACTTTTATCTACTTAATTCCAAAATAAAAAGTATATTGTAAGAAAGTACAAGACTATCGTCCTATCAATTTATGTAATGTAATGTATAAAGTTATAGCCAAACTGTTAGCCACTAGACTTCGTAACCTTTTGACAAGTGTATTGCCCAAAACCAGGTAGTTTTTGTCCCAGAACGTCAAATGATTGATAATTCTTTTATCACTCGTGAGATGTTCCACTTTCTTAAACACAAAAACTGAAGTATAGACTATGGTGCCCTAAAGCTAGACATGTCTGAAGCCTATGACCGTTTAGAATGTTGTTTTCTCCTAAAAGTCTTATCTCTCCTCAAATTCCCTAAAGACTTTTGTCTAATGATAAAAGAATGCATCTCTACGATCTCCTTTTCAGTTTTAATTAATGGTACTTCGGAATGACATTTTTGTCCCTACAAAGGCCTTTGTCAAGGAAACCTCTTTCCCCCTATCTATTTATCTTGGCTATGGAGGATTCGTCCCGTCTAATCTTGCATGCGGAGTAGGAAGGGAAATTACAAGGCATTAAACTATATCATTCATCTCCAATGATCTCCCATTTATTTTTTGCGGATGATCTTATGTTGTTTCTTCATGCCCATATAGAAGAATTATACAATTTGAATCAACTTCTTCTTCAATTTAAGTCAATTTCTTGTCATTTGTTAAACTTCAAAAAATCAAGTATCTATTGTAGTAAGAATATTCATCTAAGACACCAAAGAATGATTATGTGACAATTACACATAGGCCCTCTCAAACGAAATTCCAAATACCTAGGTCTTCCTCCTTTTACAGGCTAGAGACAAACATGCTAAATTAAATTATGTCCTACAAAACCTCAGTTCCAAACTTAACAAATGGTGAGCTTCAGCTATTAGCCAAGATGGGAAAAAATTTAATCCAATACGTTCTTCAAGTTGATCATCTCCATTCTACGAGTTTTTTAAAATATCCTCAAAAAACGATTAATAGTGTTGAAAAAATTATCAAAGATTTTTGGTGGGGTGTTTCTAACTCTCAAAGTCATCATTGTCGTTGGTGTTCTTGGCATAAAATTACTCTTCCAAAAGCTTTTGGAGGTTTAGGGCTAAAAAATCTGAAATTGGTAGATCTGGCCCTCCTAAAAAAAATTGATTGGCGATACCTAAATGAGCAACATAAATCATGGGTTCAAGTTTGAAAATCAAAATATTTAAAACACCACAATCTCATACCCTATTCAACTACTTCCTCAAGCTCAGTTTACTGGAAATAAGCCCAAAAATTATGGAATTAGCTTTGGTGTGTGGTCACCTAGTAAATGAAAATTCCTATTTCTTTGTGGACCAAGTACCCTGGATACAATCTCACAATGAATTCTCTTGGATTCCTTTGCCTTTGGCTCCTCAAGTGAAAAATATGAGTATTTCAAATCTCCTTGTCTTGGGTCAGTGGAATACCAACCTTATCCATTCATTGTTCTCACCCGAAGAAGCTGTGAAAGTTTTGAGAACTCAACTCTTCCCTTTGAATAATGAAATCACTTGGATCCGGGTTGTTCATAAATCAAGCAAATTTACAATAAAAGAGGACTGCAAAAGAAACCAGCAATAGTATCTCCCATCTTAAATTTTGCTAAACAAAAATCTGGAAATTCTCTATTCCCCCTAGATGTCAATTATTCTTCTGGAGAGTTTTTAACAATTTTCTTCCAGTAAAGGACTTGATTTGTGTTAACCCTCAAGATAAACTTTGTGTTCTTTGCAATGAAGCAATAGACTCCTCTTCGCACCTTTTTATTGATTGTCAATATGCTCAAGCTATTTTCTTTACAGATCCCTGGAACTTACACCTCAATAATATATTTCAAGGCTCCTGTGTCACTTGTATAAATAACCTTTATACTCCAATTTCAAACAAATCAATTATTTTTTTTTACAAGTTTTAGGGTGGATTGCTATTGTTTGTTATTATATTTGGTATGTCCGGTCGGAATGAGAAACCATCATTAGTATGACAAACCAAACAGTCCAACATACCCCAATTTCTTATAATGATTCTCAAGGTGTTGATGTGTTCTCTACTGCTCCAAAGTTTCAGTTGCTAGTTAACAGATCTACAGATTTAATTATCTTTACTGATGTCTATTCAATTTTGCCATTATCATTCTTTCAAGGAATTTATCATGTTTAAAAATGATTGGAGGCCAAACCTCTACCATTACCTTTATTGTTCAAGCCGAATTTTTTGCTACTATTAAGGCCTTAACAGAAATTCAGAGTTGGAATTGTGAAGATATTTTCATATGTTCGGATGCTCGACAGATAGTGCGGGCTTTACAAAAGACGAATGATCTGCCCTGGTTATGCCATTGGCTCTTGTCAAAGACCAGGAACTTAATTATGAGCATTTCAAAAATTCAATTTTATTATGTAAAATGAACTTTTAATAGCCCTACCCATACGGTGTCCCAAATGGCTAAATTGCACTCTCAATATTTTTTTGTTATGGATGACTATCCTGCTAGGACTCCGAGGGTTAAGGACTTTGTAAATATTTAAACTATTTAATCTAGTACTTTTATCTTTCAAAAAGAAAACTTATTCGTGTGATTTAGAACGCATTTGGCGCGACTTAAAATAAGTGCTTCTAGTGCTTATTGCATTTTAAAAGCCAAAAAAAACATATATTATTTGGCTAAAAAGTAGTAAACAAGCGTTTCCAATGAAAATGCTCATTTGGAAAAGCATTTGATGAGTGGTTTCTCGCTTCTTGCATTTTAAGTAAACTCATTTTCATTTTTCTAGGTTTTGTCCATTTAAACATTTTTAAGGGTAAATTTCTTAAGCTACCCTTACTATTTAACTAATTAACTGTTGATTTAGTGTAACTTTAAAACTTCTCCTACCATTAATTTCCCGTCACACTTAGTCACATATGACATCTTGACCAATATTCTTTTTCAAAAATCCTGAAAATACCCTCATGCTTGTGAACCCCTGTGCTTTTGCTTTTTTCAGTTTTTCCGTCTAACTTCTTTCATCTCTCTCGATCCATCGAACACAATGGATCAACAAACATTCAACGAACTGATCTTCTACAACCCAACTTGCCTATCGAAACTAAAGTTGGAGGAGATGAGGCAGATAATGGTGCCGAAGACCGACGAGAATGAGAACAGGAGCAACAGAGGAGAGAGCTGGAG